CTTTACACATAATCAGGAGTAAAAATCATGTCCCGGAAGGGCAAAATGCGTGGGCAACTTTTCTACAGATAGTTTTAGTTTCGTGTTAAAAAAACATCGATATATACTAAAATTCACTAATGAAGTTATAAATGCTTGCAATATCAAATCCTCGATCTCGAAAGTGCACTATTTTTTTTTATTTAAATATCCATACTTTTAAAGACTTGATGGGTAACCAATAACAGTAGTTGTTTGAAGACATTATCATAGATATACATGTACATATGGCATGGTATTGGTTGCAAAAATTTGATATTTTTCATTTAAATGCAATATTTCTTATTACATTGGTATATTTCTTCGTTTAAATGTAATATTTTTTTATTTGAATGGTATATTTTTTCATTTAAATGCAATATTTTTTATTCAGATGGTATAATTTTTCATTCAAATGGTATAATTTTTCATTCAAATGGTATAAGTTTCGTTCAAATGCAATATTTTTTATTCAATTGGTATAAAATGTCATTTGAATGCAATATTTTTTATTCAATTGGTATAGTAGTTTTTTTATTTATATGCAATAATTGCATTATGGGAAATTCTTTGACGTCATAAGGTCAAATTTGCAACAACGTTTGTGATTTCTCCCCTTTCTTTCTAAACTGGAGTGACCAAGAATTAAAAAACGCGTCAGAATATCGCCCCTCTAACTAAATTTGGCGTTCGTGCGAGTTCGAGCACTGGCTGTTAATGCCAATAATGGCCAGGACGAGCAAAAAATGCGAGTGACAAGTAATAATAATTAATTTGACACACAATTTGTTCATGGATAGAAACAGATGCCTGCGTGCATGGCAAAAACACCTCCAATGAAAACCTTTTCAAAAGAAACTCTCCTACAGTCTTCACATTGAAATAAAAAAAATACATAGCTAGCCCCCCCGAGTCCCCCTTCTAAGTCCAGATACATGTAATCATGACGTTCTTTAGTGCTATATCATTTTTTACTTTTCTTGATCCTCAGAGACGTTGCAGGAAGGCTCACACGAAAAAAGAATAAAAAGCATCCAGGACGTTACAATTATTTGGAGACAGAGTCGAGACAGGAACCAACGACAACCACTAAACTACAGGCTTCATCCCTGGGACAGGCAAATAAAGAATATGGCAGGATGGATATAAAACGAAGATGTGGTATGATTGCAAATGAGACAACTCTCCACAAGAGATCAAATGAAACAGAAATCAACAGCTACAAGTCATCGTACGGTTTTCGAAAATAAGCAAAGCCTACACCGCATAGTCAGCTATAAAATCCCCCGAAATCAAAAATGTGAACAATTCAATCGAGAAAACTAACTGCCGAATTAATGTACAAAAAAATGAACGAAACACAAATATGTATAACAAAGCAACAAACGGCAACCACTGAATTATAGGCTTCTGACTTGGGACAAGCACATACATACATACAGAATATGGCGGGGTTAAACATGTTAGCGGGATCCCAATCCTCCCCTAATCTGGGACAGCGGTGTAACAGTACAACAACATGTTTGTGAGCAACCCATCCCGAAGCTGGGACAGTGGTGTAACAGTACAATAAAATACCAACCTGCACAAATCAGCAAATTTACTCAAAAGATCGGTACGAGACACACAAAAAAACTAACATTAAGACAATAGACACAAAGCACCGACATAAGAGTATTTGCAATTACTGGAAGTTTGCTCAAACCTAATTACAACTGGTACTGAAATAAATATTGTTCTCCCAGACTGAGTTATCAATCAGTACACAACGCGCGGCAAAGGATTTATTAAAAAAAGAAAACAGTCTGAGAAACGTCTGGTTTACGTTGTATATAGATATAAGAAGATGTGGTATGAGTGCCGATGAGACAACTCTCCATCCAAGTCATTATTTGTAAATGTAAGCCATTAAAGGTCAACGTACGGTCTTCACTGATACGGAGCCTTGGCTCAAACCGAACAGCAAGCTTTAAAGGGCCCCCAAAAAATTGGTAGTGTAAAACCATTCAAACGGGAAAACCAACGATGTCTAATCTATCTAAAAAAAAACCGATATACTTGCATATAAATCCATATACAATGAAACGGTTTTTGAAAAGTGGACCGAACGTTTTGACCATCGAAATTTTGCAATAGAAATACTAGTTATGACCACAAGATTTTAACAGCCAGTGCAGGACTCGCACGAACGTTAGATTTAGTTTGAGGTGCGATATTCTGACGCGTTTTTTAATTCTTGGTCACCCATGTTTAGAAAAAAAGGGGAGAAATCTAAACAATATCCGACCAATCACAAACGTTGTTGCAAATTTGAATTTAAATGAAAAAATATACCATTCAAATAAAAAAATATTGCATTTAAATGAAGAAATATACCAATTAAATAAGAAATATTGCATATAAATGAAAAATATTAAATTTTTGCAACCAATAACATGCCATATGTACATGCAATAAATTGTATAACAAAGACACATTTGCAAGAGTGGTAATTATTGTGGAAGGCTGTATCTCTGAATTTCTAAAATACAATATAATTGAATGATTTTATTGATAGGGTAGAGAAAACTAATATAATGTATAAAGTTTTTGAATACAACTAATATACGGATTTCAAAGTTAAAATGTTTAGTGTATCACATTTTCGTCATCGTCAGTGATTTGTGTCAATCTATAATTGCTTGATGGTTCTTGTCGATTCCGTCGGTTATTGACCAAATCCCGGAAATGGCCGAACATGTCTGCCATAGAATAGGCTACTCTCGAAATATGCTTTTGACTGTTCTCCTGAACATCTTTATTGTTTTCGATGGTTTCCCTTGCTTTGTTCATTGCGTGTTCTGCACTACAAAAGTCAAAAAGTCTGAAAAGACCAGTTTTTGTCTGAATTTGCATGAATTTTTACTCGACATTCTTAATTTGTCTGAATAATTTTTAAAAATTCTTGACATAGTATGAATTTGTCTAATAAGGTTCTTTATTTTTCTTGACAAGTGTCTTGACAGTATGAACATTGTCTTAAAATTTCTCGACACTTCCTGTATCATCTGATAAAAGTCTGGATTAGTTTCTACCAATTCTTGAATGTCTTAAATTTGTCTCGATCTGTCTTGACATATTCTTGACATTCTTAATAATGTCTGAATATGTCTCGACATATTCTTGACATTCTAAATAATGTCTGAATATGTCTCGACACATTCTTGACAGTCTTAGATATGTCTTGACACTATCTCAATTGCATAAAATTCGCCTGAAATGTGAACAGACTTATTCTGCACTGTTTATGACATTCTATTGCTGTTGTATACTCCTTTTTATTACGGCTAAACTAAACTTTGAAGAATCAAGGATTAATTTGGTATAGTGAGATACCCTTTTGGTGCAACTAAGTTGGAATACCCTGAATAATCCCCCATGTAATTTAATTTTGATTTATTTTTATTAAACATTTAAGTAATTGTTTTCACTTGGAATATAAGTCGAAGGTATTGACAAACAGCATTTAGATTTTTGCCTTCGCAAAACTGCCAGTCAAATTTGCTTTACTAAAATAGGTGTCTTGTATCTCTTTTGGACCCCACAATTCATCTTTTGGGTGTGTGTGGCTAAAAAAGAGGGGGGGCTTTCGTTTAGGTCAAAGAATTTGTTCCCATCTTGATTTAAAAACCTTATTCATTTTTTAGAACAACCCAAAAACATTTTTTATTCAAATTTGAGTGTTGAATTTTATAATTTTTTATCAAAAATAAATATTTACGATAACTCCTTCCTGAAAAAAAAAATGTTTAGATCTATATTATGCATGTCTGTTTGAGAACCATTTCATAAGACCGATGATTTCTATAGAAATCATTGATGGGACCCATTATAAATACATTTTTTTTTATTATTCCTGGAGTAGATAATAATTTTCTTTTAATCTTTGGGAATTATTCAATTTGTTTTTATGTTAAAATAATTAACTTCATAATTTTGATGAAGAAAATCCATTTCAATTCAATTTTTTTTCATCAAAATGATGATTTTCATTTTCATCTATCAACAAACTTTTTAAATTGTAGTGGCATGGTCGGTCAACTGATAAGTTGTATGGCTGATTACAGGTAAAGCAATAACTTCTATTTGACAGTTGCGTGTACTCTGGGGTGTGGAATACCTTAATTTTATGGGGAACATCCTGTCCATGTGTAATACTTAATATATTCCAACAGATGACATTACACAAATTTTTCTTCTGTTAAATGAATGATTTGTATATCATCATAATTTGCTATTTATATAAACCACATTTTGGTATAATAAATATTTACCATATCAACATTGAATATTATGAATGTAGAAGGAAATATGTCTACAGTATGATTGGTTTGAATCATTTAATTTATAAGATTTAGGAATCAAAATTTGTAATTATTTAAAAACCCACATTGAAATTGTTTTATATCAACACACCCACATTTAAATTATTTTATACTTTAAATTTCATAGCCATATTTGCATTTGTAAAAATATTTATATACCCAAATTTTCAATTATTTTACATGCCCAACTTTTATTTTTGTTGTAAAGAAGTGTAACTTGAAACAACAGTATATCATATAAAGAGAAATAAAGATTAAAGTTGTATCTTGAATATTGGTTATGATTTGTAAAACTCAGAACTGTCAAGTAAATTTAAGACACGATTCAAAATGTTCAGAATATGTCAAGACATACTGAGAAAAAATAAGAATGTCGAGAATATGTCGAGAAATTTCAAGACAGTATTCAAATGTCAAGAATTTGTCAAGAAATTTTAAGACCATATTCAGAATGTCGAGAATATGTCGAGTAAATTTCATACAAATTTAATATAAATGAGAATTTTTCAAGAAAAATTAAGACATAAGTCATACTTTTGGAGAATGTCGAGTAAAAGTTCATGCAAATTAAGACAAAAACTGGTCTTTTCAGACTTTTAGACTTTTGTAGTGCTGCTACTCTGGAAAGTTCATTTTTGCCATTCTCAATTATTTCCTGTCCTCTCTGAACCGCCTGACTTGTTATATTATTCAGTCTTTCGCCTGCTTCATCAATTCTTTCACGTGGAACTCCTATGTCTTCTAAATGGTCTGCAGCCAGATTAAGGTGTTCCCGTGCATGGACACCTATAGTATCAGCCAAATCTCCAACGGTGTCAACGGAATCACTAAAAAAAAATATTGAATAAAGTATCTAGTAATTAGTTAATGTCAACATGGCCAAAATCCATAAAAGAGTTATTGCCCCTAGATATCTTTTGATTTTTTTGTATCGTTGTGTTGCTGTCTCATTTTCGTGAACTCAGATCTCCCTTTTCAAATCAATTTATAAACAAAGGTTCAAATACTGGAGCTGAAGGAAAATTTGGCACAATTAAATGCATTCAGACTGGGTACATGTAATTGGCACCAGCATTGTGGAAAATTTCAATCGGTATTCAAATTATATGCCATTGGATGTAAAGCAAAAATAATTGTTGATGCTATAAATGTCTTACCTTATGTGATCTCTGACATTGTGATACAATTCACTTGCCCTCGAAAACCAATCCCATCTCTAAAATAACATAGAAACATGATTATTACCTCACTGTGACTTTGAGATGAAAGACAGCAATAAAAAAGCCGTTCCTTTGCGGTTTGTGGTTTTTTTTCATGTTCTGATTTTGTGTCATGGATGGATACCCCATGTCCTTTCTTTTCAAATATTGTTTTACTTAGATGTTAGGTGTAAATAGAATACTCATAACATGTTGATAAAAAGAAACATGAACAACAGGAGTTGCCACGCATTTGTTTACATTTTCGAGAGGCTCTAGTTTTAATACGTGTGACAAAGGCAGAATAAGAATGCTCGCCATACAGGAGCGGCTTATATCAATTTTTTTTTAAATGCACATTATCTGTAAAAAATATATTTTTCATGATTTAGATAAATATTGTTTAATTAAACACACGTTATACATGTTAATATTTTGACTTTTCAACCGTTCCGGCATTTGCATGCTTGGTAAAGCGTAGTAGTGTTTAAGAAAATCCGTGTTGTTGGTATGTGGTTTTTACTACCATGAGAGGGGTACAACTGTAAGTGACCTCTATCAATACCCAAAGGGAACCATCTATTCAGTAGCGAGTGCTCTGGTACTAGTATGATTTACCTGATACCATATCTTTAACTTGCTATATATACAGTCCGCCAAAAGTTAAGCACCACCTATCTTTGTTGCATCGAATTTTTTTTTCATTTAAAAAAACCAGTTAATCCTCGAAAAAGAGAAAATATTCACGTAACAATTTTGCTAACATATGCCATAAACAAACCATAAACTTAAGTTTGGTCACTGATGCAGGTTCTATGCATTTGAATTTTGCGTTCATAGAAATAGTGAAAATTACACAAATCAGAAACGGAATTTAAGTTTTACCTTGATTTTATTTTTTTACAACAATTAATCACCCAAAATCATTAAAAGTCTCTACAAATAATCTTTGGTATGTTCGGCAAATTTAATGTCAATATTTAAGTCAATAGGAAGTGTAACCACCTCTCTTCCGGTACAGTTCCATAACACGGCGTCTCATACTCTGTACAAGCCTTCTGAACTTTAGTTGAGCAAATTTATTCCATTCATCAATAATTGCCCTTCTTAAATCGCCAAGAATTTGCAAATGTGGATCTCTACGATTGAGATTTCTGCCAATGGCATCCCAGATATGTTCGATAGGGTTCAGGTCCGGAGACATGGAAGGCTAAAAGATAGTGTCAATGGCTTCTTGATCTTTGTAATCGGTTACAATCCTTGCCCTGTGTGGTCTAGCGTTGTCTTCTATGTACGAGGGTCTTCAACGCAAGTTGGTGATTCTCAAAATGAGGGACTACAATGTTTCTGAGCACCAAATCCCTGTATGTCTGTCTGTTCATGTTACCCTGCAAAATATGCATACCCAGCTTACAACAGTATGAGAAGAAACCCCATACTGTAACACCACCATCAACGATTGCTGTCGTTGGTCAATTGTTGTTTTGGTGATAGGCAGTTTTATTTCCCCGCCAAACTCGTATTCTGCCGTCTATTGGTTGAAACAGAAACCAACTCACATCTGACCAATGAATATTTTGCCAGGTTCTCATGTTCCATCGTCGATGGTCATACGCCCTTTGAAACCTGATTATACGGTGCCTGGCTGTTAGGGCACGTCTTCTGACAACACGACGTGCTCTTAGGTAGCCTCTATGAAGTCGACGGACCAATGTTCGAACACTAACACGACCACCTGGAGGCCAGTGGTGTCTAAGCTATGGAGCAGGAGTAAATGGGTTGGCTTTAGCACGACCAATAAGTAAGTCTGTCATCACGATAGGTAGTTAAACGGGGTCTTCCGGACCTTGGTCTATCATTTACAGTTCCTGTGTCAATATGATGTTGTTAACATCTGACAATGACGGTGCGTTTAACATTGAAATGGTTACCAATGCTCCTAGTGCTTCTATCGGCATTTGACATGTCGATTGCTTGTCAACGTTCAGTCACAGATAACTTACCGCTTGCCATATTTCACAGTGACTTGGTGAAGGTCAAATTTCACCTGTACGCGGGACAGTAGGAAGATGATTTAAAGGCATCGAAACAGTGTATTTATTAAAGTGCAGATGACCTTTAATAAAAGGTTGCTTGGCGGGTATATCGGAGTTTAATTTTTCTGGTTGTAATGAATTTTCTTAGTGAATGCTATAGGCAATCTTTTACACCAAACATAAATATTTTTTTCGCAATAGTTAAAAAAATATTGACAGTTTTATTTAGGTGGTGCTTAACTTTTGACGGACTGTATATAATTGTTTATATACTAAAACATAAATTGGAACTCCCTCAGACAAAGTTGAGTGGCCTTAGACGATCTACACAGTTCTTTTTGAGGTTCTTTATTTAAAATATAATTTTGCTTTGAAAATAGGGCGGATATTCCTTTTTGGTATCTATTCGAAATTGTAGTTTAAAGATGAAGAACAAGTTGAGAAAACACCTAAAACAATCGTTTCAAGCCAGTTACACTCCTGAATTTGATTGGTTATAGAATTATAGACAACTGTTGGTGAAACCATTTAAACTATCGTCTTCAGCATCGATAAAGTTTTCATTTTGTATCCTCGCAGAATTTGCGTAGCTTTATTTATTTAGGCACTAGATGTCACTTAATGTATTGACAAATAGAAGAGTTCCGACAATTTCCTAACCTGGAACAGTGGAATAACAGCACAATATAAGAACAAACTACATGTATTTAAAAAAAACCAATAAAACAGTTGAATAGGGCTTAGATCTCAGTTACTGAAAGCTTGTTAAAAGTCAATAACAACTATTAAAAGAATCATCAATCTAAGACTAAAATATCAATCAGTACACTTCCAATATACACTGGATTTAGTATAAAGACGTCAATAACAGTCAAGTGAAAAACGTTACCTTGTGCAATCCCACCAATAATTACTTGTAAAACACTCATACACACTACGTAAAGAAAATCTCTTAAACCTGTTTCTTGTGGGAATATAGTGGGAACAAAATGCATGACTGTCTTCTTATTGACATATATTTATATTAGAAACATTTCCTATTTATTTCCGGAAATCATCTGGTAATGTTGTTAATAAAATAAAATTTTCTAAAGATAAAACAACTACGTGCAGAGGCGGAATTAGGTGGGGGGCCAGGGGGACCGGGGCCTCCCTTTTCTGGGAAAAATTTGGTTGATTATATAAGAAATCACTGGAGCATGACTGGAGCGGGCCCCCTCTTAGGCAGTCAGTGGGCCCCACTTATGAAACTTTCTGGATCCGCCACTGACGTATAACTGACTGGATGCATAAAAAGGACCAGTAAATACACGTATCTTACTTTTTGTCTGTAGGCAGTTGGTACTGAAAGTGCAAGATCCACAGTTATAACCAGCCAGATGATACAAGATAGTATTGGCATCTTCATGATTGTGGTTCCCTGAATGAACATAATTTTGAATTTGTATATAAAATAATTTAATTGTATTTTCGATTACTATATATTCTTGTATAAGCAGTATTTCACAATTTAGAACTTGCCAGAAATATCATTATAATATTATAGTTTTTGTGTAAATATCCTTTTCTAGAAAAAAAAACCCCATCAAAATAAATGTCTTAGGCGGGTTCGTCGGATTTCTGCTGCAATTAAATGTTTTGCCTCTATCCTACATGCCCTTTTTCCAGTGACAGTATATTCGTACCGCCCTTCATCCCGGAACCTATATGTTGGAACTATAATTACTTGTAATTTGTTTTCGTCCTGAATATCTCTGACATATTTTAAGCTAGACGTTACAAACAATCGATTGACTTTTTGAGAAAATCTTAAAAATATTCTAAAATTGTATTTGGTATAGGTTACAGTAGTAAAAATTCATGGCCAGCCTGGTTCTCTGCAACATACGGGTATCTGAGTCATAGCATAACCCAATAGATAAAGAACAGGGAACCAGTCTTTAGGCAACGCATGTATAGGATTGTGTTTAATCATCTTTTTTAGTTAGTATTGTACATGCATTCTGCTTGCATATTTTGGAAAGGAAGATGTTTGTGTGGTATAAATAGGACAAACGCTTTCATCAGTTAATAGATTTCCGTTTAAGTAGGCTTTGTACTTTTCACACAAGATTCTTCTTTCGGTCTTACATTTTCTGCTCTACACAAGACCAATAGATTGTCATATTTTATCGAGCTAGTTCATAGGGTTAAAAAAAAACAGTACGCAAGAACACACGTCGCCCTATTGTCGGATATATTCTTTTATCTCCGATTCGACAAGTTTTTAATTTCCAAAACATGTCATACTTCTAAATATTGCGTGATTAGTGAATAAGCAAAATTAGCTTCCTGATATGCGTCATTCATGTATAGTGTATCGGGGATCGGAATCCATCAATAGAGTTGAGCACGTCCACGACACTACCGATGCGGTTTAAATACACAAAATAGTTTATGAAAACACAAACGAAAAGATGAAACTTGCGTCTAATCCTTACTCTTCTTGCAACGGAAATCAGTACCTTTTTTGCAATAAGGTTTGAATTCATTTCAAATTTTCATTTTACATTTTTTAGTTAAATTTATGTAGAAGTGGATACACTGTATCAAATATCCAAAAGCATGTAATGGCGGATCAGGGGGGGGGGGGGGGGGGGGGGGTAGGTCAGGGAGTTGGAACCCCTTTTTTTGTTTGACAACTAATGCTTTTGTATGGGGATATATGGTTGGAACCCCCCTTTATAGTATGACTTGCATGTGTTGGAACCCCCTTTTAGAAATGGCTGGATCTGAGCCTGACATGCACTCAAATATAATAATTTAACACGTTTACCAAAAGGAATTAAAAGAGGGACGAAAGATACCAGAGGGACATTCAAACTCATAGATCGAAAACAAACTGACAACGTCATGGCCAAAAATAAAAAGACAAACAGACAAATAATAGTACAGATGACACAACATAGAAAATTAAAGTCTAAGCAACACGAACCCCACCAAAACTGGGGATGATCTCAGGTGCTCCGGTAGGGTAAGCAGATCCTGCTTCATATGTGGCACCCGTCGTGTTGCTTATGTTATTACAAATCCGGTAAATAGTCTAATTCGGTAGGTCACATTCGTGAAAAGGGAAGGGTATTGTAGTTACGACATAAGGAACATATCCGATATCATCTGTGAAACGGTTATTCCATAACGGTCAACCAACTCGTGATGGCGTCCGTAAAATTTACGAAGGGACGATTTTAACTTCACCATTTGGAATTCTTGGTTTAATAGCTTCCTTGTGAGCAGCAATCCTCTATCAAGGAAATCATGATAGGAAATACAAGCTCGGGAATATCGTATCAATTGGGATATATATACTCCGTATGCAGGCGCTGCTGGAATGTTGCTACATAGAAATGGAAAGTTCACAATTGGGAAGCTGAAATCATCTCTTTTGTCGTAAAGTTTTGTTTTCAACCGACCCACATTGTCAATTTTTAGATGTAAGTCAAGATATGAGGCAGACTTAACTGTATCTGTAGTATCCTTTATCTCTAGTTCCATCGGATAGATTCGTTCAACATAGTCACCAAACTTTGTATTATTTAGTGAGAGAACATCATCTATATAGCAGATCGTAAAGAATGGGAAATGTAAAAATAAACTTCATCAATGATACCAGGCTAATAATTGTGTACGCCAGAAAAAGACTCATCAGTGACGTTCAGATCAAAATTGCATTAAGGATGTTCGCTGCTCTGTTTAAAAAAAAACAAGCTTTTTAAAAGACTGTTATAAATTGATAGTTTATAAATAAAGAAACTAAAAAAGCTGAAAAAAATGAATGGTCCGAGTGCATGTTTTCGAGAAATAAGCCATTGAAAATTTGGCGGGAAATACTTCTCCCTAGATTTTTCATACATTTAACATGGTCACCTTTTTTTTTTCAAAAGAGATGAATAAATAACAAGGATTATCAAAGATGACATTTTAAACTATATGTAATCAAATTATGGAAAGAAAAGTAGGGGTTTGTGGGCAAAATTTTTAATGGCACTGCATAGATAAAACCAGCGGATTCCGAATATCTGGCAAAAATTCAAAAACAAGAGGAGCAAACATCCTTAAATCATGTTTGCTTTATAATTCTAACAAAAGTTAAATATTTTTTTTACCTAAATATCTAAATTGTAATTTCAATATCACACTTACCAGAAAAATTTACAGCTTTTATGACGAAGATATCTCGTAGATCACTGATCATATACGATGCTATGTCAAATTTCCCTTTATGTGTATTTACTTTAATATACTTGTGATCAAACGCCTTCTTCAGAAAGTGACGATTTCCGTTTTAAGAACGTCAAAAGCTCTTCACACAAGATGTTCTTGAATTTCACTTCAGTTCATTTGTAATTAAATATTTTAAGCTCTTCCTGAAATTATGCGTCATATAGCGTAAATAATACATGTATGTGTCTGTAAATAACAGTAAGCGGAATAGACAAAGTCGAATAATTATAAGAATTAAAACTTTATACAACTTGTTAGAAAGTTCTCTACATCTTTAGTCTTAACCCGTCTTAAAATAGTTGTTTTCGTCCATGCTTTTGTACATGATCGGATCGTTGATTTTCTTGTTTGAAATGTTTTACGTTTTTCATGTCAGTTCCGTTTATATCTTATATCTTATCTCGTGTAGGTCACTGTACGGCCTTCAACAATATGTAAAACCCATACCGCATAGTCAGCTATAAACGGCCCCGAAATGACAAATGTAAAACAATTCAAATGAGAAAACTAACGACCTGATCTATTTAGTTAGATGAATTAAATCAAAATGTCTGCAAACGAAAAATACAACTTAATGTGGAACTGTTTCTGCCTACCCTTCCGTAGCAACTGAGATCACTCTTAGATTTTGGTGGGGTTCATTTTTTATTTTTCTACCGTGTATGAAGTGGTTTAAGACTGTATTTCTTCGTTTATTTGACAAAGTGTTGTCAGTTTCTCTTCAATATTTGAGGTTGGAATGTCCTTATACTTTCTTTCGCATCTTTTTTTCAATGTTTTAACGTGTTCCATGATGATCTTCAAACTATCAAACAGAATCAACTGCCTAGTCTGTCCGTCTATATAAATTAAATGACCGTTTCTTACTACATTTGTTAACCATTACACTAAGAAACACATGATATGATTTACTTGCCTGTAACACGTGTTTCTCGGCCTTAATCCCAACGAAAGACGACCTGTATATGCATGACATACTCGCCGCTGGTCGCTAAGTAATATCAAGTTAAACGATTAATATCCCTTCTTTGTATGTAACATACAATTCTCTTCTGTTCCCCAATTCTTTCATCTACTAATTAGAATACATCTCAAAGGAAACAGGGGTACATGTATAGTTTAAATATGGCCAAATGGGATTCTGTCTTTTAGTACGGTAAATTGTGATTGCTTCTTTAATGTGCAATACCAGGTTGAAATTTGGAAGAATGCTCTGCATATTTTAAAATGTAACTATAACTGGATGAAACTTCTACCCTTACCTAAAGTACCCTTATTTATATTCAAAAACTTATGAGATGTGTTTATGCAATAAACTCAGTTAAGTACATGTACACTCAAGATTGAATAATTTGAAAGAAAAGTAATAATTTAAGTTTCAGAGCATAAACACAAAACAGGAATAACCATTTGTAATAGTGTTTGGTTATTTTGTATCTATTATCTATTGGTAAATAGCAAATTTTGAATGAATATCTTAAATGAGAGACCAATTTTGTCAATAAAAATTTTAAGATATAATTTCTTACAATCATTTTTCAGTTTTACTAATGCGTGTCGTTGTTATGTAATACTCTTAAAGTTACTGAAGTATTAATTTATTCAACAGTACTTTATATACGACAATTTAGCTATGCTCAATGATCTGCTCGATCAGTCGTTACGATACAAGCGGCAAAGCAGGTAAGTAAGTTTATTTATTTATTTACTTCACTTTATTAATGGTTCACTTGCTTACTAAACGTCCAGTGTAGGATTTTTTCAATGCATGTAAATAGAACCAGATAATGCAAACAAATATTCATACAATATTTTGCAATAATAGAAATAAGAACTTATGTGTCAAATGCCATAACATTTTCAGGCTGATAGAGGTATAACGTCATTATAAGGAAAACAAGTTAATTTAAAAACTTTAAACATTACGTCAAATTCTTTAAAATTTTTCTCTATTCTTTATTATTTTGTGGCCATTATTCTTCACCTTTTGCCCTTTATTCTCTATTCTGTAAACCCCAATAATAGATTACCGTAGCCGTTTTTGGCAAAACCTTTTCGGAACATTGGGTCATCAATGCTCTTCAACTTCGTACTTGACAAATGTATTTTGCCTTTTGATTTTTTTTATTCGAGTGTCACTGATGAGTCGTTTGTAGA